CAGAGGAAGGTCCCCTTGTCTCACCCTGCCCAGTCATTAATCGTGGAGCTATGCCCAGTGCAGTCCTGGCCCAGAAGCTGGCAATCCCCTTTGGCACATAATAGCGGGTTTAACGAGCCCCCCATAAGCTGTCCAGTTGCAGAACCTGCTGTGACCCTTTCCCGTCCACCTGAGCCGGCGGGATGCGGATTGTTCTGCTTTATTCCCTCGCTTGGCCTAGTCCACGGGAGTTCACTGCAGCCATCACCCAGCTCTAAGTCACGGCTTCTACAAACACCCCCAGCGGCTAGTGCAACCACTGGGTCCCCCTGCTCCCTGGCCCGCTGCCTTCCTCAAAGGTCACCTCCTCTCCAAGCTGGGAGCCCCGCTCCTGGAGTGGGTACCCCTCCCCCAGCTCACCCTGGGCACGCTCAGACCGCTGTCCTGCTCAGGCCTAGCGCCGTCAGCCCGAGGATCTCCTGGCGCTCTCCCCACATTGGTGGGTGACGCCCCTGGGAAGAGGGGCTAGGAAGCACCCTGCCTCCCCACACACTTGACACAGGTGGAAACTGAGGCACGGCGCGGTGAAGCCACTTGCCCAGCTGTGGCTGTGAGAGCCGGCGTGAGCGCCACATAAAGGGGGTGGGGCACACAGCACCGACGACTCAGCCTGAGAGAGGGGTGCAGCCCCTCCTGCAAGGTGCTGTCCCTGCCACCCATCCCGGGTCCCAGGGAGCTGTAAGTGAGGGTGCTCACCGGATCAGGCCCTGAGACTCTAAGCTCCTCGGGGGTGGGGACAACGGGCCCAGATCTATGTCCTTCGCCCCCACTGACACCCTCGCTCAGTATCTCAGAGGACACCGCTCTCAGTGGGGATGGATCCCAAACCCACTGAAGCCAATGGGGGGGGGGTGTCTTTCCATTGACTGCAGTGGCCTTTGGCTCCTGGCCCTGTATGTCTGTTCATGCTGCCCCCCTGCCCAAGGTTCAGTGACAACAGATCACGTCCCTGCAGAGCAGGCAGGGCCTTGGGTTCAAGGTTTAAGCCAGAAGCCCCCCACTTGGCCAACAGCCTGGAGCTCTGGAGCGTCACCAGCCAGTCATTATTATTTTACATTCTAATTTGCTGAGTCCTGATCTGGTGCAGCCTCTTTCCACGTGCTGCGAGTGATGCTAATAGCGACCCTCCGTGCCATATGCTACGCCAGTGAGGGCACGAAAGCAAAGCTACAACCAGGCAGAGGCGACAAGTCAGCAGCGCGCGCTCTGAATTCGGCAGGCCGTTCGGCCATTTCAAGCCACGCAGCCCTGTTTGTGTCTGGTTTGGCTCCTGTCCGGTATTGTTATAAAACCGGATGTGATTGTGTCTGGTATCCCGTACAGAGGTTGGCGTGCAGCACGCGCTGCTCCATCCCTGCTGGGGTCACCTCACCCCTCACACGTGAGGCCATGCAGCAGGGGCGGGAGGGGAGGGGAAGGGCAGGGGGGCACGCTTAGGCATGACCTTGCATGCTCCCAGCATGCTCTGCGCCCTCTGCAAAACAGCCTCCTCCGTGCGGCACATGCCTCTGGCGCGCTCAGCAAACGAGCAGCCTTTGTGCGGCGTGATCTCGCACACACCGTGTGTGCCAGGTCACGCCAGCAGGGACAGAGTCACACACAGGGGCGAGGCTCAGGGCCGGCTCCAGCTTTTTTCCACCCCTAGCGTCGAGGAAAGGGGAAAAAACAAAAAAACATAAAGCCGCAATCGGAAGCACTGCGGCGGCAATTTGGCGGCCGGTCCTTCCCTCCGAGAGAGACTGAGGGACCCGCCGCCGAAATGCCGCTGAAGACCTGGACGTGCCGCCCCTTTCCATTGGCCGCCCCAAGCACTTGCTTCCTGCGCTGGTGCCTGGACCCGGCCCTGGCGAGGATGACTGGGGGGACGTTGTCCTTCTGGGGCTGCCTCCTTGGCCTCCCTCCTGTGAGCGCTGCGTAGCACGCTGGTCGGAATCATCTCGTGGTTATCTTGGGCTCTCCTGGCTGATTGTTGTATCCACTTGCCATCTTAGACGTAGAGTCTGCACAGCCTGTCAACTTCCTGGGGCAGGGCCTGTCTCTGTGTTTGTGTAGGACCTAGCGCAACACCGATACCAACAAGAATGAGAAGCTGGGAATGGGCGACGGGGGATGGATCACTTGATGATTCCCTGTTCTGTTCATTCCCTCTGGGGCACCTGGCATTGGCCACTGTCGGGAGACAGGATCCTGGGCTAGATGGACCTTTGGGCTGACCCAGGATGGCCGTTCTTATGCTCTTATGTGACGAGAAAAATCAGCTGTTCCCTTCTGCTGTGGCTGCGAGAGCTGCTGGAGCTCTGTATAAGGGTGTGGCCAGGGCCGGCTCCAGAGTTTTTGCCGCCCCAATCGGAGCCCTGCTTTCTTCTTCGGCGGCACTTCCACGGCAGGTCCTTCCCTCCGAGAGGGACCGAGGGACCCGCCGCTGAATTGCCGCCGAAGACCCGGACGTGCCGCCCCTTCCCCTTGGCCGCCCCAAGCACCTGCTTGCTGTGCTGGTGCCTGGAGCCGGCCCTGGGTGTGGCAGTCTCACTACTTGCTGTCTCCAGTGCTGTGTTACTTGGCGGGGCAGAGGGCTAGCCCCATTTCCCTGTCATTTCCTCTTCAGGGACATGTGGGTGTGGGACCCATGTCCCTGTTACTGTACAGGATGAAAGAGAGAACCGATGTATTCAACAACGCTGGGAGCCTTTCAGGCCGAGTGCCCTGCTGCACTGCGATTGGCGCACCGGACGGTCCTGATTAACACCCATGCTTCCCTAAGCCTCTGCTGGACCCCTGTCCTGCATCACTGATGTCAGCAGATGTTTCCCCGTTGACATCAATGGGGACAGGAGCCGGCTCTTAGTATAATTAACGTTGTGCCTCTTATTCCGTACAAACGACTGAGGGCTTAGAGCTGAACCCAGATCACTGCCGTGGTGTCTGGGGATTGACTTTTAAAGCCAGATTTGCCTCTTTGGTTATGTCCTGGGGGCCCAGTACGTGGTCAGTGAGCCGCATTCTCCTCCTGCTTATTCCAGGGGCCTGCAGGGCTCAGTTCCTGGCCCGGTGCTATTTAACCTTATCAACTCCATGTAATCATCATTGATAAAGGCTGCGGCTGACACAAAGTGGGGGGAGTGGGAAATAACGGAGAGGAGCCGTCTCTGATACAGAGCGAACGGGCTCGCTCGGTAAGCGGGGCACATGGTCCCAGTGGGATGTTATGGGCTAATGAGATCCTGGGGTACAGACCCAGGGGAATCTCAAGGAGGAGCAGAGAGGTTATTTTAACCTCAGGCTTTGGCCCTGGGGTGACTGCTGCTGGAACCTTGTGTCCAGTTCTGCGGCCCACAATCCAAGTGCTAGGAGGATAACCGGGACAGACGGTGAGGTGCACAGATACCACAGTGAAGCGGCCCCTGGGAGGAGCTTAGAGAGAGAGCTAAGAACTGGCTTTCTGGTGCATTTTGATGGCGGGTGGAAGTGTGGGCCCATGAATAGGGGGCCTGGGTTCAGTTACTGACTCGCTGCAGCATCTTGGATAAGTCACTTTGCAGTGTTGTGCCTCAGTTTCCCCATCTGTAGAATGACGATTATAATATCTACCCACTTTTGATGCTATAGCTGAAGCACTGTATAAGCTTTAGCGTTACTTCTTGCTTGTCGCTGGCCTGGAAATGTGCTCTGGACAGCAACCTTCCTAGGGAGATTTTGGGCACTTGAAGTGCCAAAGAGAAGCTAGGAGTGCCGGCAACAACGGCCAAAGGACTGGGGAGAGGCTAAGGTGCGGGAAGGGGGAAAGGATCTTATCACCTCCAAACCTGTTTACCCATCCCAATGTCCACCTATTAATCCCTTCCCTGAGCCTCAGGTGAGACACCACATCCTAGTCTGGTCGCTTTCAATTTATACGGAGCGTGGGAGCATTTCCCGTCTCCTGCCTCCTCCTGGCTTAGCCACTGGGCTGTTCAGTCCCTTCGTGCTCACTTTGCAAAGCTGCTCCCGGGGGGCTCGGGGCTTGCTCGGGTCCTGTCACTTCTAATATCCTGCCTGGCTGCTCCTCAGAAGAGACGGAAGCCGCGGCAGAGGTGATGGCTGGGCTGCATTGAGGTCTTAGTGCCACCGTCACGGTCAGCTGGCGTTTTCTGGGCCAGGTTCAGCCGCGGGGGAAGTTGACACAGCGTCCATGCAGTTATTGGTCTGGCTCCCAGGTTGCATTTGGCCCTGGCCATTTCAGTGCCGGAGAGGTCATTCTGGAACGGTTTTCCCCTGCCTGATGCAGTGTCTGAGCCACAGACTCCCAGTGCCTGGGGGTTTCAAGTGCGTGAATCCAGCACTGGACTCCTGTGTCTGTGAGCGTCTGGGCTGCGCCACCCCAGGTTTGGAATGGAGGCCGGAACCAGGCTAGATTGACCTGGTTGCATTACGCACACATTGTAGCAAAGTCCAATTTCAAACTGCGGGAAGTCCCAGCAGCCCTGGGTAAGCAGCTAAGGCCCCAACCCTGCAGGCTACTCCACCCAGACATTCCCTGCACCCACGCCCGGACCCACTGACATTAACCGGGCTCCGCCTGGGCGCAGGCGTCTACCCTTACAAAATGCATCACGGGCTGGGGACCTCAATCTGTGGCCCGTGGCACGACGTGAGCTAAAGGCCGTTTGCTGAGTTGCCGGGTGAATGGTTAGCCCGGACGTGAGCCCGTCTCGGAAGGTCAGGCTGCGATAACACTCTCTGCCCTAGAAACACCACGCCCGGGGCAGCGATTTGATACCACTGACCCAGAAGCCTGGAGGTAAAACTCTAACCAGCTCCCAGTGCGAGAAGGGACCTGATATCCAGCTGGCATATGCCCAGTCTGTCGCCCTAGGCTGCCAGCCCTGCCTCCACGTCTCCCTCCTCCGTCCCTCCATCCTCCCCCACTTGCCCTGAATTAACTTTTGCTGCTGCTGTTTGACAGGCAGCTTCTGAACCAACCCCCCTCTGTAGTGCTGATCTAAAATAAAACTATCTCCAGCCTGCCGCACTCTGCTCCCAGCTCAACTCACTCCTGAGATCCACCCCAGGGGGGACTGGCAGCCAAGAAACCAAGGAGCCACCGGCCGGACAGACAGATGCCTCAGCGGAAGGACAACTTGCAATTTCTTCCTTCCCACCCAACTTACAGTGCTGGGATCCGGATTTCCAAAGGAATCGTCTGTCCCCCTGCTTTGCCTCACTTCTGAGCTCCGGGCTGGTGCTGCATTGTGCCAACTGCTTGCCAAGGTCAGTTGCAGGGAAATGCATGTTCAAAAAGGAGGCGAGTAAATCAGGTCATTGTTAAACGACTTATCTGCCTGGCACGCGCGCGCCCCTTCTTGCATTGTGTTTGCAACCCGTCCCTGGCACCGCGGCTGAGCTGAAAGTCTTGCTGTGTCTGTGGCCGGAGGCTACTGTTAACTGCAGTTGCGGTGGATGGGACATGAGGACGGGTTGCTTTCACTGGCCAGGGCGCAAGCGCTGTATGTAAGATCGACCGCTTGCAACAAGATTCAGCCACAGTGCAGAAGTGCCGGTAACGCAACCGTAATCTGTGGCCACCGCGTGCAAAGTGCACGTCCCCTAGCACGTCCGCGCGCCTCCCAGGTGTGGAGCGGAGCAGGGAGATGGGCACGCTGAGCTACCTGTGCGTGGGTTTGTGCACTCACCTACCTGCAAAGAGGGAGCGGAGCCAGGGACAGGCACCCTGTGCTGTCGCAGAGGCCTGCAGCTGCAGATAGGGCAAGCGCTCAGCTAAATTTGGAAAGGGCTCCGTGTTCTGCAGACCGAGGCTTTTTCCCCACCTCGGCCTCACACCAGCTTCGGGGGCATTGCATTCCCGTTTATGTAACTTTGCTCCATTAACCTTCTCCCGCCCAGCCCTGCTGGGATGCCCTTGAAAAACACCCTGTAAGTGCACAGTGGCTGAAGTCGTGCTGAGTGGGGGGCCTGCTTAAAGAGACGTCCACAATGAGGAACAAAACACCAAGCACACCCTCCAAGTGGGTTAAAACTAGACAGTGCAAAGCAAAGACACTTTGATCATAAGAAGGGTCTTGCAGTGGAGGCAGGACGACACACAATGGGGCCTAGTGGCTAGTGAGCCAGATTGGGACGCGAGAGATCCAGGTTCTACTCCTGGCTCTGCTGCTGGGTGCGCTTGGGCAAGTCACTTCCCTGCGCCGTGCCTCGGTTTCCCAACCTGCAAAGTGGGATAGTGGTGCTGACCTTGGCAGGGCATGTTGAGCTGTGTGGCTGACAAGTGCAACGTAAGTGCTGACCCGGTCTCAGAAGAGAAAAGGCACAGGCCCGTAGTGTAATGATCCAGGCCACTTAGTGATTGCTGGGGGCCATCCAGCTGCCAATACGCCAGGTCTAGCTAGCAGCGGGCTCTGCAGGGTTCACAAGAACCATGCAGCACTAGTCAGTTCATTGTGATCACTGCAGCAGGGGCCAAAGTCCACCCTGGTTTATACCCATGCAACCTCCCTGGCAGCACCACTGAAGGCAGCAGGGGACCCCGGGGGACAGAATTGGACCTGGATACCGTCTGGCTCTCCCATAAGGGACAAAACTGCAAAAGCCTCACTGCAGAGTCACGGCAACCAGCGTTGGAAAACAGCTGCCGTGTTAGGGTGCTGAATCCCCCTGACTGTGCCCTCAGCTGTATTCCCCGGGGCTTTCGTCTGGTTGTGAACGTGCCCATCCCTTGGGAGACTGTTCCACCTCACTGCCAGGAAGCCCAGCCTGATATTCCAGCTGAATGCCCCATTTCCCCAGCCAGACACGTCGTTCCCCCCTGCGGGATGCCCAGCCAGTCTCCTCGGCCTTTCTTCATGGTAATTGTTTGGAGACTGTTAGCCCATGTCACCCCCTGCAGAAACACACACTGAGTGCCACGAGGTGCCCCCGAGGCCAATGGCGACTCTCCCAGGAGCAGAGCCTGGGAGTGAGTGTAGACGGCCTCCCATTGCTCTGGGAAGGAGGTGCCTGGGACTGAACCCAGGCTCCCAGCAGCGTCAGCCCAAACTGCACCGACTTTGCATCATCTCCCGTCAGCAGGTTCTTTGACTCCTCTTTCCTGTCTGGCCTAGACACGGAGATGACCCTCTTCACCCCGCTATCCCCAGTTCGTTGCCCAGGGTTGCCAACTTGGTAATATTTAAAAACCGGACACTCCAGCAGGAGTGCTGGAACCTCCCCTGCCCCGCCTCTTCCCCTGAGGCCCCGCCCCCTTCCACTCCTCTTCCCTTCCCACCCCCAACCCTCCTGCCCGGGTCAGGAAGGACTTGCCTGTGGAGCTGGGGCTGGGAGCTGCAGCCTCCCAATGAAGGTAGGAGGCGGGCCCGGCTGAGAGGGGCTGGAGCAGGTGATGACCCGGTGCCTCCCCTGCTCACAGTAACCGGACTTTGGGGGTCCTGTCAGTAAATCTGACCGGACACTGTCAGGTCCCTTTTCGACCAGACTTTCCGGTTGAAAATCAACTGGCCACCCCATCGTTGCCACTATGCGCCTCCAGCTGCACACACGGAGCATCTCACAGTCTTTCATTCCTCCTCACAGCCCCGCGGGGCGGCAGGAAAATACCATTGGTCCCATTTAACCGGTGGGCAGAGGAGCATGGAGAGAGCAAGGGCTCTCCCCACAAGGGGACTCAGGCGTCCCAGCGCTCACCGGCTAGCTTCCAGGCGCCCCGTGGAATTCACAGCCCCGAGCTGGGCATCCCCAGGCATTGTCGGGGGACGCAGAATGTGCGGCACAGATGCCGGCGAGCTGAGGGGGGTGCTGCTGAAGCAAGCCAGCGGGAAATGCCCAGGCAATGGGTGGAGCCTAAGCACTGCTCCTCCAGGGTAGCTAAGGCTTTTAGCTCTGGGTGGGAGGGAGATACTTTCCTCCGCTTGGGCTTCTTAGCTGTAAACCCTCCTGAAGCTAGGAGCCTAAGCCAGATTGGTCCTGTCTCCCATGGGAGAGAGCCCTGCGCTAGCCCCTAGCCTGGTGGGTAGGCACTCAGTTGGGAAGCGGTGGCCCTGTTTTCCAATCCTGCGCCGCCTGATTTGGAGCCAGAATTTGAACCCAGATCTTCCAGCTGACTGCCCAAACTGCTGGGCCCTCGGGGGGGGCGGGAGGGAGGGAGAGGAGAAGCCTTTCTCCATCTCTCCTGCTGAAGCTTCTCATTCACTATGCCTGGGGCGAGAGAGCGGGTGAGAAAGAGAAGGCAGTCCTATTGCCTGGGGTCTAGGGCACGCTGCTGGCATGCAGGAGAGTCAGGCTCACGGCTCTGCTCCAGACTGGGGCTTCAAACTTGAGTCATCCAGCTGCAAGGGAGTACGCGAACCACTGGGTACAATGGGATGTACGCACACAGCCGCCTGCTCCCGAAATTCCTCATCTGGCTGCCCCGGGCAGCCTTTTTGCATGGCCTGTTCCGTGCTCTGAGCAGACCTGCAGGCGAGAGACCCAGGGGAAGGCGTCGTTGGAGAAAGGCCATAGGCATGACCTCAGGTGCTGAGCGATGAGGCAGCGTCAGGCCTGAGGTGGCTTTGTCCAGGCCCATTAGCAGACACTAGGTTGCCTAGGGGATGTTCCTGGAGGAGATTTAGGATTAGTTTAGTTTGCAGCTGAGCGGGAGTTTTGAGGAGCTCGGGGGCACTTAAATGTTGGACTGAGAGTGGCCATGGATCTAGCCCTGAAAGACTTGCCCAAGGCTACACAGGAAACCTGCAGCAAAGGAGGAACGGGTCTTGCACATTCTAGGCTAACCACTGGGCCATCCTTCCTTCCTCCGCATTTGGGCTGAATGGGAAGGAGGTTTAGGGCCAGGTCCAAAGACTCCCATGGACTTCACTGGGCTTTGGATTGGGTCCCAGGTGAACCCCTTCAGTTGGAAAGCCAAGCCGCAGGTTGACCCGCGCTTTATTGGACCAAAGAGAGGCTCCAGCTTTTAAAAATTCAGTAAAATTAAAAAAAAAATAAACCCACCCGAGGCAAAAGCTTTACAAGTCAGACATTAAATCAGGGGCCGCCAGAGTGGGTTTTTTTATTGCTGCTCACACAGGCAGTCCCCTTCCTGATCCCCTTTAAAGTTCACTCAGCTAATGTTACTGAGTACACAGGATTAACTGCTCCTCTGCCGAGCTGTATTTTCTGCATCTCCCTGCAAGATAGCCCAGAGTGGCTTCCATCTAAGCACATCTCCCTGCCTGAGCCAGGAGCCTTTCGGCTCACCTGCCTATGGTTCATCAGGGTCTGGCTGCTGAGTCTGGCCCACATGCTCGGGGTCCACATGATTGCCGTATTTGGAGTTGGGCAGGAATTTTCCCCAGGTCAAACTGACAGAGACCCTGGGGGCTTTTTTCCTTCCTCTGCAGCAGGGGGCACAGGTCACTTGCTGGTTTGAACTAGAGTAAATGGTGGATTCTCTGTAACTTGAAGTCTCTAGATCATGATTTGAAGACTTCAGTAACTCAGCCAGCGGTTCGGGGTCTGTTACAGAAGTGGGTGGGTGAGGTTCTGTGCCCTGCCATGTGCAGGAGGTCAGACTAGATGATCATGATGGTCCCTTCTGACCTTAAAGTCTATGAGCTTCTGGGCCTCTGCTGCTGTAATGGAGGCGTTTGAGTCACTGAATGAGTGACTCTGCTAACTGGGTAAGGCCCCTCCAGGGGAGAAATTCACCAGCTACTACTACTAATGGGCACGTCTACACAGCTCACGGCTCCCAGGCTTGGGCTAGCGGGGCTTGCACTGGCGCGCTAAGAAGAGACAAGTATCAGAGGGGTAGCCGTGTTAGTCTGGATCTGTAAAAGCAGCAAAGAGTCCTGTGGCACCTTATAGACTAACAGACGTATTGGAGCATTTTTCAGAGTAGCAGCCGTGTTAGTCTGTATCCGCAAAAAGAAGAACAGGAGTACTTGTGGCACCTTAGAGACTAACAAATTTATTAGAGCATAAGCTTTCGTGGACTACATCCGAAGAAGTGGATTGGAGCATGAGCTTTCGTGGGTGAATACCCATGACATGACATGCATCCGACGAAGTGGGTATTCACCAGTGAAAGCTCATGCTCCAATACGTCTGTTAGTCTATAAGGTGCCACAGGACTCTTTGCTGTTTTTAAGAAGAGACAGCACTTTGAAGTTGCAGCTCGGCGTCCCATTGTCGTAGGCACCGTGAGGAGGAGACAGTCCCTACCCCACAGAGCTTACGATAGTGGGAGACCAGCCACACAAAGGGAGCGGAAGGAAGTACCCTGTGACAGATGGGTAACTGAAGCACAGAGAGAGGAAGTAAGTTGCCCAAGTTCACCGAACGCCGTCCTGCCTTTTGGACAGCTTTGACTGAACAAGCAACGCTGCACTTAGCCATTCCCTCAGCGGCGTCTGCACAAATGATGCATGGAAGGCGATCATGTTATCAGACAAGCAAATACACTCAGAGCAGTCACTAAATCTCTCCAAGCCATTGGAAACCACATTGCAATCCTACCTGCCCCGCGAGATCCCACCCTAGCGGGCCTTAAAGCAAGTGCTGGGTAGATCAGCCATGGGGCGGTGGGGTGTTTAGATACAAATGTTCCAGTCTCTGATCCCAGAATAGGGAATGGGGAATGCAACATACAGGAGTCCCACTTGGCCTTGATGGCTCTGGAAGCTCTAAGTCTAGCCCTGAAAAATGTGACCCTGTTTAACATGACAAGATACACATAAAAACACTCATCTCCTTCCCTAGACTAAATTGCTTCACAATGCAGAGGACACTACCAGGGACCTGCTGCACGCAACACATTGTCACTGATAACCATATGTTGCCTGTATATTGACAATGATACCAAGCACATTACCCATTACCCACCGTTCATTGCCAGCTACATACACTACACTGCCAGCGATGCAATAGCTTCTTGTCCATGACTATGTACTGCCAGTTACATCCAGTATCTAGCATCCAACATGCTGTGCAGTTATCAGCTACATACAGGACATAGATCATAGAATATCAGGATTGGAAGGGACCTCAGGAGGCCATCTAGTCCAACCCCCTGCCAATCCCCAGTTCCCTAAATAACCTCCTCAAGGATTGAACTCACAACCCTGGGTTTAGCAGGCTAATGCTCAAACCACTGAGCTATCCCTCCCTAGGTGGGTGTGTCTTGCCATGGGACTTACTAGCACGGAACCAGTCAATGAAGTGGAAAGGAAGTAGCAGAGCATAGTAGCTCTCTGCCAATTTCCCGATACAGCTTAAACTACCCAGACTTTTGTTGTTTATTATTATTTGTATTATGGCATCTTCCAAAGGCCCCAATCAGAAATCAGGGCCCCATCCTTCTAGGTGCTGCACAGACACAGAGAAACACAGGCCCTGGCACAAGAGATTCAGAGCTGTTCAGAGGGGTTTTACCCACCAGACCCTGCCCCGAGTATTCCTGGGGAACCCCAGGCTAAGCGGAATGGGCAGCGTTTCCACATTTGATTGCCAACGTTAGGCACCAAAAAACATGCCTTTTTTAAGAATTGCTCAGCTCCCTACAGCTCTCCCTGACTTCAGTGTTCAGCGCAAGAATCCTGCCTAGGTAAGGACTCTCTTGTTTGATCCCTCTATCGTGCGCCAGTCACCGTTTCCCATCTGTGCCTGCGTCACAGAGGATGGTGACTCTGTTACAGCTCTAGCCGAGAGCCCAGCTCTGGAGGTCCCAGGTTAAAATCCCCAGTGCTGGCCAAGATTTCAGCTGTCACCCTTTCACACTCCATGCCTGTCTGCCCTTGTGGGGATCGGAGGACTGCAGTCTGCTTCTGGTGCTGTCCCTGTGCCAGCATGCTGTGGAAGGGGCATCACCACAGGGTAGGGCCTGGACACACATAGTCCTACGTGCCTTCAAAAACAATGTCTGTGCCTAGGCGATTTCCCAGCCACGGGTTTGTGATCTTTAGCTTCATTGTGGCAGCTCCTCTGCAAGGAAAAGCACCAACACAGGTGAGTAGGGGAGGGATGGTTTAAATGAAAGGAAGTAGCCAGAGGCCAAGCAATGTAATCTCCTGAGTCAGGGATTCCCAACCTATGGTTCTTTGAGCTACATGTCATTCAAGGCTCCCACAATATCCATCCATTAGATAGGTGTTCCATGTCCTCTGCCTATATCACATAAGTATCCAATACTCATAAGAAGGCAGCGTGGTCCAGAGGATTATCCACTAGGCCGGGAGTCAGGTGAGCTGGGTTCGGTGCCAGGGGAACGATGATACCTGCCCTTTAGTACAAAGAGCCCTGAGATCTAGGGATGAAAAGTACCACCCAGGGGGCAGTAAATGAGGTAGAGGCTGGAGCTAGTCCACAGGAGGGGGGAGACAAAACAGGGGACCTCCTCCCTCCGAGCAGCTGGGAAGGGGTGGCAGAGAGGCTGTTACTTTGCAATGGCATAACGTGGCTGTATGGGGACAGCCCCACACATGCACGGTGGGGTTCTGCTGTGGCTCACTGCCTGGCCGTCCCCAGATGAGGATGCTGGCCTAAGCCAATCAGTCCCGTCTTGGGGAAAAGGGATAACAGCCAAGTGCTCTGCAACACTAAGGCGCTGAATGCAATGTGCCACTGACCACGCTAGCTCCCAGCAGAAGGCAACGGGGCAGCATTGGCAGTGACTGACTGCAAGGGGATTTTGCAATGGTGAGGCGCATTAGAGTCGCGATATCATATCAGACAATGAGGTGAATCCCATCCCCTGGGATATTTAAAACCAGACTGGCCTGAGCGCTGTAAGGAGCAACGCTGCTCCGTGAGAAAGAGCAAACACATGACCGAATAGCCCTTCTGATTTCTATGGTCACGTGCTCTGCTGGAGACGGAGTGGAATAGATGGACCATTCTTGTGTTGAGTCCAGCTGCTACTGTGTTTGAAAAATAAAGGCAGGCTGGAATCACAGGGCTGAGGAAATTCCCCTTCTTGTTCAGGAAGGGTAGTAGAAGGATATGTCAGCCCAGAGGTGGTAGATAAAGGAGCCCGTCAGCTGGTAGAACACTGCAGACAAAAGACGACAAAATGGATCCAATCCTCCAATTTCAAGTCATTCATGTGTAATGAGATCCCACACACAGTGTGGGTGTGAGTAGCTATGAACACAAAACTTTTCCTTTCGTTTTTTTCTCTGCCAGATCTGGAGACCCTTGGCTGTTGGGGTGGCAACCCACCAACATGGGTATTAAAGCAGTGTTACCGAGTTATGAGCTGGGTTTCTACGCTCTGATCTTGACTTGTGCGGTGGTGTATAGTGGAAATGGGATCTTCGACGCATCGAGAGGTAATTTTCCTAATCCAAGCTAGCCAGGTGTGGGTGCGTAAGTGGTAGGTGTATTCCAAACAGGTATTCTTACCATCCAGAATTCAGAAAGAGCCAATTTCCACCCATTTGCAATACCTTTTCCTATGATCATAAGTATAAAGCTCTTGGACTTGATTCTCTGCTGAGAATGACCTTGTGAGTCACTTACACCTGAGCAAAGTAGGTGTGAAATGCTGCCCAATCCGAGTGGAAGTATTCCACGCTCACTGGGCACAGATTTAAATGGCGACATCAGGCGCAACGCAGTGGCGAAGCCCCTATGTCAACGTCCTAGACAGGCCGATACATTATCTTCAAGGGCTCTGATCGTCAGTAATGCAGCACATCTTTTTATGGGACAATGGCACCGCTGACGGGTGGGTCCCCCCTCCCCCTATGAGAGCTCCCAATTCTTCCTATCTACAGCGTATCATCTCATGATGGTTCCTCAAACAGGGCAGGGGCAGGATGTTGGAGAAATCCCTGGTTGGAGGCTCTTTGCTCCTTTCCTCTGGTTTCTTTAGCAGTGCAAACAACCCGCGTGGGGATGATCTTTCTGGGTTGAGTCTGAAGCACATTGGTGGGGTGATGCAGGTGACGCTTGGACTGCTGCTGCCTATGATGTATCTGTTTGGAGCATAAACAGGGGGCTTCAGGCTGAGGGTGGTCATGCCAGCCCCCTCCAGCTAACCCCTAAATCCACAGTTAACTGGAGGTAGCTATGAGTGAGACAAACACTGCCCCGATGGACAAAGGAGCAATCCAATCAGCTGACTGAGAACCTGCCCCTAAGCCCATTGAAATCAGAGAAGCTCTTTCTAATGACTTCAGTGGGCTTTGGATCAGGCCCATAGGTTTCAGAAGAATAGCTCCACTCCCAAATCCCATGGGAGCCGCAGGCGGTCAGCACCTCCCATGATTGGACCCTTATGGGCTGGCTGAAGGGGTAACAGAGAAGCTGTCTGGGAGCCCCCAGAAGTACCCCACCCTAAGTGCTCAGGGGGTGACTCGAAAGAGCTGGAGTGATGGAGGAGATGGCTCCTTGGGTTGAGTGGGATTTTTCAGAGGGGAAGAAGAGCTGTAGCTACGCAACTCCCGTTCGTGCCAACAGAAGCCATGCAGTAAATCCCATGCCCGGTCACTTTTGAAAACCTCAGCTGCTTTATCTCTCCTCTGTTGCTCTTTCTCCTCCTATCTACCAGAAGGAGGCAACTAAGCCGGGGAAAACCCCTCCCCTGCTTACCCCGATGCTCGTCCCCTGTGCTGACCAATCCCAGGGAAGAAGTGCAGCAGCATCACGGCGCAGGCCCTGACTCAGCAACGCCCTGGAGCACATGCTTCACTGTAAGCGAGTGCAGTGGCTTGAACGGGAGCTGCGCCTGTGCTCAAAGTTAAGCACGTGCCTAAGTGCTTGGCAGCCTTGGGCTGTGTACAGAAGACAGTCTCAGCATCAGAGTGGTTTCTCCCCGGGTAACACCTGTTCTTTTGCAGATAATGTGAACAGAAAAGCCTTTCGGCAGGGCATAAAGCCGGGCTGGCATTACTTCGGCAGGAAAATGGTAAGTAACCCAACAGTGGGACACTGGTTGCTTAACGTACCACCACGAAGGCTGCCAGCGACCAAAAAGAGCCCTGACTTTCCCGCCGCTCGGGTCTCTTTGCACAGTCCGCGTGAACCTTTCTGCTGCATGTCGGAACGACCGTGTCATCAATTAAAAGTTCACTCACTAAGGAATATATTATTTACGCAACACAGCAAGCGTGCCCGGCGTTTACGTGCACCTATAGACACAAGTGATCCCAGCAGAGCCCGTACAGGGTTGATAGAGCTAAGCTAACATGCTTTGAAATCCACAGATGGTAGAAAGGGCATGAAAATAACTTGAACCGTGGGCCTGATCCTGTGAGGTGCCAAACGCCCTCGACTTCTGTTGAAGTCAATGGAAGTGGAGGGCCTCCAGCACTGAGAAGGAGCAGCGCTGTATCCGTGCTATCCGTTAGAGAAGGACATTTGGGGGAGCTGAAGGCTTGCACGGGAGCAGGGTTACTAAGCAGGAAGTCAGCGATTAGGGGGCCTTGGAGCGACTGCAGTAGCCTTTCCGTGGCTTGTCCGTGTTGACGTGGCTCTGTTCTGACAGGACGGAGCTGACTTTGAGTGGGCGATGTGGTTCACCTCGTTCAGGAACATCATCGTCTTTGCCCTTTCGGGGCACATCCTGTTCGCCAAGATCTGCTCCATGGTGGCTCCTCAGGTGAGCAAGGGCCACTGCCCAGACACAGCTTTAAAAGCACCAGGCCGCGCATGGTATTGCAGGGCAAACGCAGATCCCTTTCCTTGCTTAACTGGGGATGGCGTCATTTAAGATTCCAATAAACACTGTTCACGGGGCATATTCCTTGGACCTAGGGGACTTTTTAAAGGGCTGCAAATACCTCATGATCTGACCCGCCCTTGTGGGGCTCGGGGCTTGTTTACCCTCGAAACGCGACAGCGGCACAGCTGCGACGCATTAGTGCTTCAGTGTAGACACTACCTACGCTGATGGGAGGGGTTCTCCTGAGGGGAAGGAGCTAGAGTGACAGAAGAATTCTTCTGTCAACCTAGCACCAGCTACACAGGGAATTAGGTTGGCTTACTGACGCCACTCAGGGGTGTGGATTTTTCACACCCCTCAGTGACATAGGTACGCTGACCTCATTTTCTAGTTTAGACCAGGTCTAAGACAGAAGAACACAGCTGGGCCACAGACAATCCACAGTCGTGATGGCATGGTGGGAGCTAAATACTTCGACCTTTGGACAATATCATAAAAACCATCTGTGTATATTGAGAATTTGACGAGAGAGGGGGCTCCCCCAATGAATGGCCTTCTAAGTGTGTCCCATTAAAAGCCTTTCAGGACAGGGACTGTCTGTCACTTAGGCACTACCATAAAACTAACTAACAAGTGCTGTGGGTGATCAGGCCAGGAGTGGCTGTGACTGAGAGATGCTGAAGGACTCTTTGGTTCTCGACTTTCCAGACAATGTTGCTTTTTTCAATCACACTTTTTGGGGATGGTTTTCTACCTCTTCGCCCGTCTTTCATTTAATCAGGGCAGATGCATAAAAGCAGGATCATTGCTCATTATTTATGTAACCCTTCTGTCCCTCTGAGTTGGCAGCAACAAGGGCCGGGTTCAGTATCTAGGGGTTCTGTTTCAATAACGCAATGCAAAACCAGCTCGAGCCCCCACCCAATGACCTGGGACAATTACATCCCACCCCCCAGGCGCCTCTAGAAGGCAATACTTCCCCTCTCTTAAGCACAGAGTCTGAGTGTAGCAAAAGCCTTTTAATAAAGGAGGGAAACGATGCAGCATTATGTTGGGGAACCACCACAAACAGGATTCGTAACACAAATCATGAGCAAAAGACCCACCTCCAAGTAAGTTTGGCAGTGTCCTTTTCTCCTCAAGGTCTTAAGTTCAATCACCCCAAAGTCCAACAACCCAAAAGTCTCTGTCCCTGGTCAGTGCCGCCCCAGATCAAAAGTTTATCTGCAGAGTTTCCGCCCCCCAGCCTGGGTGGAAATGGGGGGGGGCACACAGGGTGTTAAGGGGTACCTTACATGGTCTGAGGCCGACTGCCCCGCGTCTCCGTGGAGTTCTGCTGCAGCTTTCACCACGAACGGCTCCGCTCTACCAACCGCTCCGCTCCTCTCCTCCAGCCATCCCGTGAGCCGCTCCAGCCGTCTCCGGAAACTGCTCCACTCTGCCAGCCACTCCACCAGCCTTCCCAGGAACCACTCCAGCTGCAAACCACTCTGCCAGCTGCTTAGTAATATATCTTCAGGTTCCCCCACTAGTTAACACAGCACTCAGTAATCTCAGCTGACTAATTTTAGCTCTTTTAGTGATTTCAGCTCTTAGTGACTTCAGCTTGTAGTAGGGGAGTCCCAGTGCTGGTGCACTATTGGCCCAAAGTGAATTCAGCTCAGCAGCCTCTACCTAGACTCCTAATAGAATCAAAATTAGCTCTGATATTCCACAGTAGAGAGAGGAGACAGTGCAATTAGTGTTCCATACCCTCAAAAAGGGCCCATACCTGTCCCCAACCTCTCTCAATTCACTGGGTTTTGGAACCCATGTCCCTCGTCTAGCGAGTGCTACTTAGGTGATGGTGAGACCCTCTGTCATAAAACAGTTTCATTGTCCTTGATTCACATAATCAGGGTAACAACACTTTATTCCTCCTGCCCCAATAACAGAGAAACTGGGGATCCCACAGCTGCCAAAGTGACCATGGCTGCCATAGGCTCATGCTAGGCAGGGTGGGTGTGCCTATGCAAACAAGATCAGCCCCTGAAGTTCTTTTCCACACTCGCCATAATTAACCACCAGATGTCAGGGTAGAGCTCATCCTGACTCTGCTTACATTTACTACAGCTGCTTGTGTGTGTGCGGGGGGAAGGGGGGGGGATATTTCATTAAAATTGTTTTCCTTTCCTAAAAAGTGTCATAAAAAATCCACAAATCTGAGACCTCCTGGCTCAGTTATTGCAACTCAAAGAGGAGGGACGGTCCAGTGGTTAGCATACTAGCCTGCGACTCAGGAGACCTTGGACAAGTCAATTAGGGCCACATTTTTTAAGGTGTTTTGGTGCCTAACTCCTGTTGATTGCAACACAGGTTAGGTATCTAAATACCTTTACAATCTGGGCTTTCGTCTTGCTGTGGCTCCGTTCCCCACCTGGGAAGTGGGGATAACAGCACTTCCCTACCTCACTGGGGTGCTGTGGGGACAAAGGCATTAAAGATTGCGGGGTGATGGGAGGCAGATAAGTACCTGAAAGAGAAATGGATCGGTTGAAATCCTGGCCCCACTGAAGTCAGTGTGAGTGTCACTGCTGATATCAGTGAGGCTAAGATGGCACCCATCTAGGAACGGATGATCAGCTGGATAATCAGCTGAACACGAGCTCCCAGGGTGACGTAGTTCTAAGAGGACTAATGTGAACAAGGAGAGGGGCAGAAAACTCCCCTGTCTTGACTGAATGTAAAAACAAAACAAAAAAAGACGACATACACTGATCTGCTCGAGTGTAAATAAAACGGTTCCTGCTCCCCCTGTATCTGTCTGGCACCCTGTATCTGTTGCCCGGGGGCGCTGGGTGTTAGACTCCCCAAGGGGCAGCCTGAGGCACGTTCTCTTTTCTCACAGCACAGATCTGTGGTTTACATGCTCTACGGGATGTTGGCCGTGCTGGGCAGCATGGGACGCGCCTACCTGATGATTGTCCTCTCTCACTGTGTGGTGCTCTACACCGTTGCGCTGGCTAAGCAGAGGTGGTTGTGCTTTGCAGCCGGGCTTTGCAGCCTGGCCTCTTTCAGGCTGGAACCTTTCAGCGTGTGGCAGGTACGTGCGTAGCCGGTTTCTTTCCAGCGCACAGTTTTGTTCCCAGTGCCGGGGTTATGCCCTGGCCACGCACCGGTGTATTTGGGCCTATGATTTGATAGCTCATGTCAAACTGAAACATTTGAGGAAGAGCCACGTGTATGGAGGCATATCCTCTAGTGGTTAGAGCAGGAACCAGGCCTCTGGGGTTCTATTCCTGGTCCTGCCACTGATGTGCTAGGGGCCTCAGGCCAGGGGCGGCTCAGGCTGCCTTCGGCGGCTTGCCTGTGTAGGTCCCTGGTCCTGTGGCTCCAGCGTACCCGCCGCCGAATTGCCGCCGAACCCACGGGACCGGCGGACCTCCCGCAGGCAAGCCACCAAAGACTACCTGACTGCCGCCCTCGCAGAGACCGGCAGGGCGCCCCCCGCAGCTTGCCGCCCCAGGCACGCGCTTGGAGCACTGGTGCCTGGAGCTGCCGCTGCCTCAGGCAGGTCACTTAGCCTGTCTGTGCCTCAACATCCCCAGAGATTATAATAGTTTCAATTTAGCAATGCACTTAAGCACCTGAGCAGTCCCATTGAAGTAGTGATAGCCCCAGTGCAGACTTGGTGCATAGCGTTCTGGACTGGAGGGGGGTGACTTTGAGTGCATCATTTCCCCTCCCCGTGCCTCAGTTTCTCCATCTTTTAAAATGGCATTGGCTGCATTGGTAAAGTGCTTCCGGATCTCTGGCTGAAAAGCTCTATGGAAGAGCTGGATATTATTATTAAATTACTGGTAGGCATATTCTTTAACTAGCTTGCTGACTCGGGACCAGTAATACTTCTCTGCCTTACAGGGGTATTAGTCCATCAGGGCTTGATTTTCAGAGGCGCTGAGCACCCACAATTCCCGTTAGAGAAAATAGACGCTCTGAGTTCTCAGCACTTCTGCACATCAAGCCATTTCCCATAGCCCGTTTTGCAGACGTAAAGGTGATAGTCCGAGTTTCCTTGACCCAGTCCCACCACTGGTAATTACTTTCTGTCAATCTAAACGCCCCTTTGCAATTTCGCAGCTGCAATTTTCCATTCACGCCATTTGTATAGACCGGCTAGTGGTCTCACTCCACCCCAGAGGTGGCTGCAGCTCAGCGCTGGGTGAAGTCATCCCTGTGTGTGATATTCTAGAAGGGTGACATTCACATCTGTTCCAAAGACCAGCACAAAACCTACACACCACTTCAGTGCTCCAGTGAGCTCTTAGGTGCACCATCGGCCTTGTGCTAAACTCCTGCACGATGGTGAATTTCAGCTTAAAGTTTTGGTGATCCTTCTGGTTGTAAGAGCCAGACCATTCAAGCTAGAAATAAGGGGCAGTTTTTTCAATAGTGAGGGTAATTGACCACTGGAACAACTTACCTAGGGAGGTGATGGGTTCTCCATCCCTTCAAGTCTTTCCATCAAGACTGGGTGTCTCTTCAAAAGATACGCTATAGCTCCAATGGAAATTATAGGCTTGGTGCAGAAATTAGTGTGTGAGGTTCAAGGGCTCATGTTATGCAGGAGGTTAGACTAGATAATCATAATGGTGCTTTTCTGGTCTTAAAATCTATGCAGCTAGGCTCTCAGAAAGTAAGGCGCCATTCATAGAAAAACATATCTGAAGCCAGACTCGGTCGTAGGAGATAACCACTGCAGGCAGTTGCACAGAAGAAGACCTTTTCAGCCATATGACATAGTAACTATTCTTTTTTGTTTAGAATGGATTTGTAACAAGAACTTTTGATCTTCAAGATGTTCTGTTTTATGGAGGAAGCGGCTTTACCATCATGCGCTGCATGAGCTTTGCGCTGGAGAACTCCGAGAGAAAGGAAGGGATTTACTCCATCATTGACCTGCTGAAATATAATTTCTACCTCCCGTTTTTTTTCTTCGGACCCATCATGACCTTTGATCAATTCCACTCTCAGGTACTAGCTTTGTGGTTTTCTTCCTTACACCTTATGGGGCAGATTTTAAAAGGGACCCTCAGCCCAGTCTCCCACTTCGAACCTGTAGTTTTACTCCCACAAATAATTGCTGGCACGGTCGGTTTCATTTAGACATACGCTTACCTGGTTTGAGGGCACAAGTCAGGTAGCTAGACACAGTGCTTAATTTAGCATAGAATCATAGAAGATCAGGGTTGGAAGAGACCTCAGGAGGTCATCTAGTCCAACCCCCAGCTTAAAGCAAGACAAAAAAGTTGCCGGGGCTCAAGCAATTTTTTTTACATTCTGACGCGGCAAGCCCAGAGGCTCTGGAGCTATGAACCGCCAAGCCCAGAGGTGCCGGGGCTCAGCCCTGGCACAAATTAAGCCGTGGCTAAACATCAAGGTGACGTCAATTGCACCTGCAATTAGATGATGGAACAAAATTCCGATGCAAAACAAGAAGCTGTTTCTAAAAATCAGCGCCACTGGGTCAGGTTTTCAGCTGAGCTGTTTCTGCCGACAATATGTGAAGAAGTGTGCTGTGGTGGTGAAGTCATTGGAGTAGGATCTTGGTTCGATTCCTGGCTTTTCCACTGACTCACTGTGCAACTTCGGACTTAATTTCTCTGTGTCTGTTTCCCATCTTCAAAATGGGGATGATAATTCTTCTTTACTTCCTAGGGGTGTTGCAAGAATAAATTCATTGTTTGTGAGGAGCTGAGGTACTATGGGGGCCAGATGACAACCTAGATGACAGACAGAAGTTGCACCTGCAAAGTACTCAGCGGTGTGCAGATAGTTAGCTGCCCCTACAAATTCCCATTTGTTACATGCAGTTATCCCCATGTGCACATGCTCACACATACTGCAGCTGCCACGTGGGCCCCAATGTGGACTAGACACATTATATGTTTGCGTCCCTCTGTGTGTCACATCTTTGTGTCTGTCCGTCCTCCCACAATACTGCCCTCTAGTGGATGGAACGTCAGACCTGCTTAGGCAGGCTAAGACATGTGATCACGTCGCCCTCTAGCTGCTGTAGCTGACAGACACTATGAGCCTTCATACAAGAGAGAATTTCAGTCTAGAGAGACAAGGCGGGGGAGGCAATATCTTTTATTGGACCAACTTTTGTTGGTGAGAGAGACAAGCTTTCGAGCTACACAGAGCTAAATTTTATATAGGCCTGATTTTCAGAGGTGCTGAGTGCCCGTAGCTTCACTGAAGTTAATGGGAGATGTAGATATTCTAAGGCTCAGAAAAATCAAGCCATTTATCTATATATAAATAAATAAAAAAGGACAAAAGAATTTTTATACTGGGAAGTGGCTTGGCAACTAAATATACGGGTTCTTCCTGCTCCTTCTATCATACTCCTGTGTCTGTATATACGTACACGTGTGTACCTATATATACACTAACGCACATACATATGTTACATGTTGGTACAACACAGAACTTATGTTTGCAAGGAGAACTTCCAAATGTATGCAGTCATCCAGTCATTGGCTGATACTCAACTGTCTGTTCAAAAAGGAGAAACAGAACCCACAACTCAGTAGGACACCAAATAAGGTGGAAATGTTAAGCCTTGGAACAAGCATATGCTGTTTCCTTTTGCCTTTTTTTTGGTCTTGAAACCTGAAAGATTTGATGAACTCCTAGTGCAGGAACCCAGCTGACATCTGTGTAGTGTGTGATATTTAAATACAAAGCAACATAGCAGCACTGTGCTCATTTTCACCCTCCCTATCACAGTTTTGATTTTAAAATGATTCAAAACCTAAATATTAGCAAGGCAACAAAATGACACGCCAGGGCTTTTTTCCCCATTTCTCCCCCAAAAAGGCTAGGAAAAAATCCACTCACAAACACAAGAATGCTAGCAGACCATGTAATATTAATCAGCCCCCTTTCATTTTCTTTTAAAGGAGCGCGGTCAACTGGCGGTCTAAAATTCAGGATCTGAACCCAGAAACATTCTATAAAACCTAACGCAAATTGAAATCTTTTAATTAATTCAAAACAATTTCAGTGAAAACGTGGGGCTGGTAAATGCGTCCCTGCAGGGATGGAAACTCAAATGTGGCAGTGTTGGTGCTGAGGCAGAAGAACTAGCAAGTGAAACCGACTAGTAAATAAATTTTAAATTTTTAAATTAAAAAAATAAATTTATGGAGATATCCTACCTCCTAAAACTGGAAAGGACCTTGAAAGGTCATTGAGTCTAGCCCCCTGCCTTCACTAGCAGGACCAAATACTGATTTTTGCCCCAGATCCCTAAGTGGCCCCCTCAAGGATTAAACTCACAACCCTGGGTTTAGCAGGCTAATGCACAAACCACTGAGCTATCATTGCACCGTCAGCTGCTAATGAAGTCAATAAGAATTGAGGATTCTCAGCTTGCATCTTAGGGCTGGGCCTTATCTGTCTCCAATAAGTGACACCCAGTGCAGTAAATAACTTCTCCAAGTTAATTCTAGTGTTCCTCCCAAAGCGTATGCTCCACCCACCTGACATCTACGGTCCATTCTTTCTCACCTGCGCACAAAGCAGACATGACGCCGACTGCCAGATACCAACAGGCCAACCTCACACATCCACTCATTCCTGTCCCTGGGGAACTCCCAGTCAAACGCCATTTGGAACGTGCACAGCTGCTGCCACATCAGTTCTCCTGTGCAAGATTGAAAATGTGATATGATGTGACATCAACACAGGGGACCACATCCTGCGCTTGTTTTCACGGGGTAAATTCAGAATTGGCTGACTGATCCCAGTGGAATTACTCCATCTGTGCAGTGGTGTCACTGAGAAGTTGGCCCGAGATTCCATGTCAGGCTGGAATTAGGCCTTTTAATTATTCAGTGCCACCAAACCGTGTGACCCGTACGTTTTTAGATTCAGCCCACACCCACGCTGGCCTATGTCAATGCCTTTTTGTTTCATCCCCTGCAAACTGGTTCCCAGTCTCAAAACCCCAAAGGAACCATTAAGATCATCTAGTCTGACCTCCTGCGTAGCAAAAGGCATAGCATTTCACCCAGTGCTTCCTGCACTAAGTCCAACACCTCCCTTTTATTTACAGAGGAAGTGGCCCTTCACCCCGGATCGAGTGCTCAGATATACCTCTCTCCGGAGCAGCCTCCTCTGAGTTCATGTCGCTTCTCCCCAAGGCCCCTCTCCAGTGGTATTGCCTTTAAAAACAACAAAAAAAGGAGGGATTATTAGAGAAAATAAAGGGGAATTCACAAGCAAGCCAAACATAAAGCAGGAGATAAACACAGCTGCACTAGCACATGACTGCAGAAGGCATAGCTAGTTAGATCCTATGTATGTCTAACAAGCAAGGTCAGCGCATCTTCCATAGACTCTCTAGCTGCACCTGCAAGACCTCGATGCTAAATGGACATGCAACAGATTCTTCTGCCCTTCTCCTTAGGAGGCTGCTGAAAATCTGGCCCTGAGGGTCCTTATTACATTTTGAACTTGCTGTGGCAAGTTACACCCTTAATTACAGCGTTGATGATCGCAGGTCATTGAGGGCTATTTTGGGGAGGCAATGTGAGCTCATGGTTGGAGCCGGGAACGGAGACAGGACTCCGGGGCTCACTTCTGGCCAGGAGCAGCCCCAGTTGCTTTGCTGGCCCAGGTGAAACCTTTTTTGGCACCCCTACTCCCCACCCCCTCACAGCAGCAGAGAAAAACAAAAACAAAAGGCAGCTGGCCAGTCAGAGGGGAGGGGGAAAAAAGACAAGTGGTATAGCTGTTCAGCACCCGTCCTGCTTGCCCATCCTTAGAACCAGCCCTGCTCCTGACTCTGCCCCTAACTGGCTCTGTCACTTCTGAAGAGTCACTTAGCCTCTCTGGTTCTCAGTTTATCCACCTGTGAATTGGGTGTATTGGTCATACCAATTAACTCAGGCCTGGTCTACACTGGAAAATTAGGTCGGCATAACTGCGTCGCTCAGGGGTGTGAAAAATACACACCCTGAGAGGTGTAGTTAAGCCAACCTAAATCCCTGTGTAGACAGAGCTAGATCAATGGACGAATGCTTCCGTCGACCTAGCTACGGCTCTCAGGGAGATGGATTACCTACTCCTGTGGGAGAATCCCTCCCTTTGGCAAACTCTGTCCTGTCTACACTGAAGTACTACAGCGGCGCAGCTGTGCTGCTATAGCATTGTAAGTGTAGACAAGCCCTGGGCCTAGATAGTCTAACGGCCCCTTTGAGCCTTTACATCTAGGGACTTTCAGGGATGCTCTGAGGCGGAATTGACTAAAGTTTAGAAAGTGCGTTGACTGCTATGGACGTTTCCCTGAACAAAAACTGAGTACGGGCCTCAGGACCTGACCCGTTAATACATCAGCAACTTGCATCTCTGAAATCCTCCCATCTGCCCACCCCGCCTCATTATCCAAACTTGGGCCAGGCTTTGATGTGCATTGAACGGTCCATTGAGATGCCACACCTCCCCAGCTCCATTCGGATGAATGAGATTGCATTGGGCAATATTCAGGGCCTTGCTTGCCCACAGAAACGAAGCCTGCTTTTCGACAGCCCCGGCAAACTCTGCTATAGGCCCTGATGCTGTAAAAGCTGCCAAGGCCTGACCTCATCGCAGCTTGTCAGAGCTGAACTTTCCTCTCCCTTATGACCTACTGCGCAACACTTCCCCTCCAGGCAATACCAAGCCCACCAGAATCTCCCAGACGACCCATTTTGATGATGCTTAAAACACAAGACATCTCCTCCCACCTCAGCCGCCATTTCCCCTTTCAGAAATGGTGGACTGCACAATGGCGCCATCTATGGGATGGAGGACCCTGAAATATTGTTGGTACAGTGTCTTGTTAATAACAAATAATATAATAATAATAATAGTAACAGTTGCATAATACCCAAAGATGGGATGGGTGCATCAGAAAAATCAAAGAAAGACTCGGTCCCTTCCCCCAAAGAGCTCACAGGATAAAGATGTGTGTACACTAGGGG